CAAAAAGGAAAAAAAAACGTATATTTTGATTTATATTAGTTTAATATAATTCCTTCTATAAGCTCTTAATATACACAAATTCTTACATGGTCTGACCACTTCACATAATCTTATATAAGACAATTAATTAAGTAATAGGGGTCACGGTGATTAGCAAATGGGATTACCTTAACGTATATGTAGGTTACTTTAATCAAAAAGGGGGATTTTTCTTGTTTTGGGTGTTTTTGTCCCACGGGAGAGTTACAACACGAAGACTGATCCGGCTTGAGCTGCACCTGCAAAATAACGGAGGCTCCGGGTGGTTGGAGCTCCGCCTCCGACGGTCAAGTTAGTAACTTGAAAAGGAATAAAGAGTACGGAAATTAAGGTGGGTATCTGCTCGGATATCCAAGCTCAGATGTCTCTATCACAGGGACAATGTAATAATAAATGATAAAACGTGCCCCCCAAAAGAGGGAAATCCCCCTATTTATAGGGTCCTCGGGATTTGTGCCCCTGATTAGGTCATTGATCCCTAATCATTGGTGGGCTGCGCCGCTTTGTGGCTTTCTCGGGATTTGGGCCTGAAGGCCGCCTTTTTTCCCTTAATTTCCGGAATGACACATGTCAAGCAGGGATTGGTCCACTTTGGGCCATCCTTAGGCTGACACGTGTCACCCTCTGATTGGACCACATGGCAGGGTAAAATTACCCTAAACAACTCTCTTTGATAAGTGGAATTATTTTTTTTAAAACATAATAATAGGGATTACTCGTATGAAAAAATGGAGTTACTTATTTCTAAATTACTTGATTTTACTCGTATAATTTGGGTTACTTTTATGTACAATGTGGGGTTACTGAAAGAAGTTAATTCCTTGAATCATATGAGCCTATCATTAGGCAATATATATACATAATGTCAGCGTATCTCAAGGCTGTACAGTAGGACCTAACAACCTACATATAAGGAAAGATTATATACAATCAATTACAATAAGCGTAATTATCTAATATACACTAACAAAATATATTGATGCTTATCAATATATTCTAACACTCCCCCGTAGTCGAAGCGGGAGGTGGTCGAACGCTGAGACTGTTCTTAAAATCCTCAAATAATACTAAAGAGAGACCCTTAGTAAAAATATCTGCAATATGATGTCTATAGGGAACATGTAGCACTCGAACTTGTCCACGAGCAACCTTTTCGCGAAAAAAATGTATATCCATCTCTATATGTTTAGTGCGTTGATGTTGAACCGGGTTTCCAGCAAGATAAATCGCACTAACATTATCACAATACACCAATGTAGCCTTTTTAATATGACAATGAAGCTCTAAGAGTAGATTTCGCAACCAACACGATTCTGAAACCACATTGGCCACCCCTCGGTACTCGGCCTCTGCACTAGATTTGGACAAGGTTGGTTTTCGTTTGGCTGACCACAAGACCAAATTATCACCGACAATACCCAGAAGTAGATCTTCTGGAATCTGGACATCCAGCCCAATCTGCATCTGTATAAGAAATCAGAGTAGAAATAGACGAAGGATAAAGATGTAGTCCATGATCAATAGTACCCTGTATGTAGCGCAGAATGCGCTTGAGAGCGTGCATATGCTCAACTTTTCGGATCATGCATGAATAGGCATACTTGTTGCACAACATATGTAATGTCAAGTCTCGTGAATGTAAGATATTGAAGAGCCCCGGCAAGGCTTCGATAGAGTGAGGGGTCCTCGAAAGAAGTGCCGGAAGTGGCACTAAGTTTCGGCTTTGTGTCAACAAGGGTAGGTGATGGCTTACATGAAGACATGCCGGCTCGATCAATAATTTCTATGGCATATTTCTTTTGTGATAAAAATAGACCACCTGCATGACGTTTGACAGTTATTCCCAAAAAATAGTGGAGCTCACCTAAGTCCTTCATAGTAAACTCGGAGCTAATTTAAGGAGTGTAATGATAGACTTTCGAAGCTCATCACACGAAGCAGAAAAAATAATATCATCCACATATAATAAAAGATAAGCCATAGATGTACCTTTCCGAAAGACAAAGAGTGAATTATCTGACTGAGACTGAGTAAACCCAAGAGTATGAACATAATCAGCAAATCTTCTGTACCAAGCCCGTGGAGCTTGTTTCAGTCCATAAAGTGATTTCTTCAACAAACACACATGATTGGGTTTTTCAGGATCCCAGAACCCCATAGGCTGATGCATGTAGACGGTCTCCTTAAGTTCATCATGTAAGAATGCATTTTTGACGTCAAGTTGATGAATTGGCCAAGATAAGAACTGTGCGGATAGTAGCCGGTTTGACTACCAGGCTAAAAGTGTCACTACAATCCACTCCAAACTGTTGAGTTTTTCCATCACCTACAAGATGGGCTTTATGCCTCTCAAAAGAACCATCAGAATTTTCTTTATGAGCGAAAATCCACATAGACCGAATTACATTAACATCAGGAGGACGGGGCACCAACTCCCACGTCTTATTTTTAATAAGAGCATCATACTCATCATCCATGGCCTTTTTCCAATTAGGATCACGAAGAGCTGACACGGGGTTACGTGGTAGAGGGGATTTTGAAACCTTAGACATAAGAGAATATTTTGTTTTAGGCTTAAATATCCCATTTTGAATACGAGTAACTACCCGGGGAGGTAATACTGGATTGATTTGAGGAGTTGGTTGTGGGGTTGGGGTTTGTTGGGAATTCGGCCCAAAAGGGGAAGAAGTGTGAGATGGGCTTGGTTGGGGCGTAGGCCCAGCAGGCCGTGTGCTGGATGGTGGAGTTGGGGAGGGCTGCTCACCGTGTGAGCCTGTAGAAGATGGAGGGGAGTTGGGCTCAGGGATTGGGTCTATTGGTTGGACGGGTTGGACAGGTGTGTTTGAGGAATAATAGTGAATCATGTATGGAGACAAACCATTAACTAGAAAATCATACGTGTGTTGTTCAGGAGTATGTAATTTAAAAAAGGGAAATGTATTTTCACCAAAAATTACATGTCGACATATAATGATTTTTCTAGATGATAAATCATAACATTTATATCCCCTATGATTAGAAGGATATCCCAAAAACACACAAGGAGTAGAGCGGGGTTGGAGTTTGTTGATAGTAGTGAAAGGAAATAGGGGATAACACAAACACCCAAAAACCCAAAGATAAGAATAGGTAGGATTTTTATGATATAGAATTTGAAGAGGAGATTGATAGTTTAACCCTTTATGTGGAAGAATATTGAGAAGGTAAGTTGCCATTTGCAAGGCATGACGCCAAAACGAGGGTGGTAATGAAGCATGAGCAAGAAGTGTATGAATAATATTGTTAATCGTACGGATTGTTCTTTCGGCTTTCCCATTTTGAGGAGATGTGTGAGGACAAGACAATCTACAGGAAAGACCATGCTTTTTACAGAATTCCTAAAATGGCCCATTATCAAATTCTCTACCATTATCACATTGGATGTTCTTAATATCCCGTTCAAACAGAGTATGGATGAAAGTTCTTAAATTTAAGATAGTGGAATAGGCATCGGATTTATTTGACACAAGAAATGTCCACAAAAATTTAGAAAAATCATCCACCAACAATATATAATATCTATGACCAGATGAACTCAAAACAGGAGAGGTAAAAAGATCAGTGTGAATAATATCAAAAGGCATAATAGTAGTAGAATTTGATGATTGAAATGGCAACTTAATATGTTTTCCAAGAGGACATGAATGATAAAATTCAGAATTTCTAAAATTAATTACATTCAATAAATTTATTCTTCCTAAGAAAACTTAAAATATTATCTCCCGGATGACCAAGGAAGGGGCTATAACAGCAAAAGTGGATGGAGAAGAGACATGTGGATTGGTGATGGGATAAAGCTCGCCCCGGCTCTCACATCTCATTAGACACCTCCCCATCTGAAAATCCATCACAAAAAACCCAAATGGATCAAATTCAACAGAAACAGAATTATCAGTTGTAAACTTCCTAACTGACACAAGGTTTTTGATTAGTTGGGGAGCATGGAGAACATTTTTAAGATTTAAGGGAGGATGTGGGGATTTTAATTGAGTATGACCATAGCCAAGAATTGGAATTGACTGACCATTACCAACAGTTATGCCATATTTATTGCTCAAATTAAAATAATGCGTGAGATTACCTTGTCCGAAAGTCATATGAGATGTTGCACCGGTGTCCATGTACCAGTTCGGGTCCGGAGGGGTAATGCCGAGAGTATGCATTGCAGCTTCTATGTCAGTTGGGGTAGATCCATTGGCAGAATAGGATTGTTGAGGTTTGGGCCCAAGAATCCCTTATTGTTGGCGCTGACCCTGCTGAAAATTGGGCCTAGCCCATGAACCAGTGGGAAACGCACAAGGTGGTATAGCCCATTGTATCCATGGCCAAGACCACTGCTGTCCCAGTGCCTATTGATTCGGTGCCTGCTGCTGTCCCCCTGAGCCGCCTGAGCGGTTATTACCGCCACCACCTTTGCCTCCGCCGCTGGAATGGCCACCAGAACTGCCTTTGCCACCGCCGCGGCCACCAGAAGAATTACGATTCTTTCCCAAATTTCCTCGGTTCTGAGATCTCTTGCCACCCGAATTGTTGCATTGTGAAGAAGGTTAATCCGACACCTCCGACGAATCATCATCACGGGCCACCATAGCAGAATTGGTGGTTTGGGCTGCCTTTTTAAGTCCGGCCTCCTCTAACACGAGCATAGACCGTGCTTGGTAAAACTGAGGCAGAGGATCACTCTGTCGAATGAGTGTGGCAACCCCTTTGTAAGGCTCAGTGAGCCCCGAAACTAATTGGAGAACCAGTCAATTGTTGTCCACCGGGGAGCCGACATTCTTGAGTTGGTCCGACAATGTTTTGAGATGTTGGCAGTAAGCAGAGACATTGGGAAAATTCTCCATCTCCGTGTGAGTGAAATCATACTCAAGGGTAACGGCTCGGGAATGTTTGTTGTCTTGAAATAAGTCACGCAACCTATTTCAAGCTTCCATTGTCGTGGTGTCGGGTTCAAGAATTGTCTGTAACAGATCATGAGAAATAGTGGCATAAATCCACTGTAGAACCGTAGCAACGAGGGTCGACCATAGTTCAAGTTCTTCCTCGGTCTTAGGAGGCTTCTCCTTGCCTTTCGCCAGAGGAATAATATGATCTAATACTTTATGAGATTCTGCGTGAATTTTGAAGAGTTCCGCCCATGTTTCATAGTGAACGTTCTCCATCTCAAGAGTGACGGGAACAAGGGCCTTGATGTTAGGATTTGTGAGAGCAGGGTGAAAGGCTGGTTTGGACTCACCCATGGTGAAGAAAGAAGAAGAAAAGAGAAGAAAGAGAATGCAACAGGAACGACGCTAGAGTGCGGAAGAGAAAGGTCAAGATCTTTCCCTAGAATACTGATACCATGAAAGAAGTTAATTCCTTGAATCATATGAGCCTATCAGTAGGCAATATATATACATAAAGTCAGCGTATCTCAAGGCTGTACAGTAGGACCTAACAACCTACATATAAGGAAAGATTATATACAATAAATTACAATAAGCGTAATTATCTAATATACACTAACAGAATATATTGATGCTTATCAATATATTCTAATAGTTACTCGTATTTAAAAAAATTTGGTTACTCATACGTACAAATGAAGATTACTCTATATTAGATTATTCAAACTCTATTTTCAAATTTAGTATAGAGTAAAAGACTAGGTTAAGATGTTAGCTAATTATATCTTTTGAGGATGGTTATTTAGTTGATGTCTACATTATGATTGAGGCTAATAGACTTAACTACATTCGAACACATAAAAAGTAATTGAGGTTAGAATAGTATAAGAATATTGTTGATCCAGTTTTGAGAGGACACATATATAGTCTATCATCTATGGGATTACAAATTTTTTTACCTTCGTTATTAACTGGTAGGGCTAGATATATGATGCAAAATTATCAAGATATCATGGCTATATGCAAGTGGTATGGATATCCAGATTTATTTAACACATTTATATGCATTCCAAATTGGTCAGAGATCACTAGATGTTCAAAATAGAGGACTCATTAGAGAATAGGTTAATCATCCTATGTAGGGTTTTTGTAAATGAAACTTGATTGCTTGATAAGTGATCTTAAGAATCAAAAGATATTTCCCTTCACAATGAAAATTGATAGTTTAGGAAGTTAACTTTATATCTTATACTTCATATAAAATTGAAAGTCATAATTTAAATACAAACCTTATTATTTATAAACCAATGTTTTTTTTTTTTTTTAAAGAAAGTTATTTTAGAGGGAAATTGCTTAATAATACTGTGTCAAGTGTCCTCTTAGTTTTTCTTTTAGGAGTGAGTATGTAATACATAATAGATATATAGATATTATTGATTATATATTAAACGTTGATTATCACTCAAATACACTAATAAAAACATGGTCAAATTAAGAATTTATGTGGAAAACAAACCTAATCACCATTTTCTAAGGTCATATAAGTAAGGGCATGTTCTCTTCAGCTTAATTTCAGTTCAGTTAAGTTCAATTAAGCTCCAATTAGTTCAGTTTAACCCAGTTCCTTACTTCCTTGTCTCATAAAGATTTCATTTCAGTTTAGTTCAGTTCAATTCTGTAAATCAGAACATGTCCTAAAGAGCTTACATTCTCAGAATAAAAAAAATATGTAAGGCCACTATGTTCATTTCACTTTATTTTTGCAGTACAAAATTAGGTTACTAAATTAAAATTATTTTTACTGAATATTGTTTATTTTTGGACGAGTAAGGTAAATATTTTAGACGTGTATGGCGCGATAGATGTGTTGATGAGGTGGGTATCATGTAATAAAAAGTAATGAGTAATGGGGCAGGATATCGAAATTTATATCCTACAGTCGTACACAGGTTAATGTAAATACATGAGCAATATATAACATAAAATAAGTTTGAGATAAACCTATTATATACACTATAGGGGAAATAAAAAATAATCATTTTCAAAAGTAAAATGATAAGTTTCAAGTGTTTTTGACGATCGTAAAGGGAAAAAGGTCGTGTTGTATTATTTGTTTTTTTTAGGAAAAAAAATATTTACTAGAAGAAGAAATACATTGTTTTCAAAGTACGTTACATTCCCGTAAAAAAAAAAAGTATGTTACATATCATTTTGAGTGGTTTATTTTCAAAGGAGAAGATCAAGGATGGCGATGCTCCTACAAAGAGACTTTTCAACAAAGTGAAACAACGAAAATCACGAAATGAAATTGTTACGCTCTGGGATGATGATGATACATGGGTGGAAGGGAAGGAGGGAGTTTCAAACCTAATTGTAAACTCCCTTAAAGATGTCTTTGAACCCCCTGCCGATTCTCAACAAGGTGAACTCATCGATCTTCTCCTTAGACAAATTCATTTTCCTTCTATTTCGACTGCTGAATCTGAGGCTCTGGTTCGACCTTTTGATACGGAGGATATCAAAAGAGCTGTGTTTGATAATAAGGGGTCTAAATCTACGGGTCCTGATGGTTTTATTGCGAAATTCTTCCATAAATATTGGGATACAGTAGGTGATACTGTTGTTAAAAGTGTCCAGCATTTTTTTAACACTGGATTTCTTTTGCATGAGCTGAATTCTACGCTTCTGGTCATGATCCCTAAACTGGATATCCCGGAAACAACCTCGCATTTCAGACCAATCAGTTTGTGAAACACTATCTATAAATGCATTGCAAAGTGTCTTGTTTCGAGGCTCAAGGTTGTTCTGCCTTCTCTAATCTCTGATTTCCAGCATGCCTTCATCCCTGGAAGATACATGGAGGATAATATTTTTATGTCTCAAGAACTTATGCACTTTATTAACTTTATACAGCGGTCCACCCACTTAGCTGCTATCAAGGTGGACATGTCTAAAGCCTATGATAGAGTAGACTGGCTCTTCCTGCTTAAAACCCTGCAGGCTTATGGTTTTCTGGCTAAATGGATACAATGGATCTCTCAGTGTAACTCTTCAATTTCTTTTCGGGCCTTAGTTAATGGGCATATGTCGGAGCCCTTTACTCCCAAGTGCGGGTTAAGACAGGGTGACCCTTTATCTCCCTACCTTTTCCTGTGCATGGATGTCATGTCCCGTATGCTCTCCTTAGCTGAAGACATCAAGTTACTAAAGGGTATCAAAATTTCAAGAAGGGCTCCTTTGATTTCACACCTCTTCTTCGCAGATGATGCTATGTTATTTTTCAAAGTTACCCAAGACTCTTGCACTACTATTGTAGACATTCTCTCTCGGTTTGGGAAAGCCTCTGGACAACAAGTTAATTTTAACAAACCCTTTGTTAAATTTAGCCCCTCAGTTTCCTCTTCGATGACAGACTCCTTCAAAAATATTCTACGTGTCCCTGTAGTTGACAGTATTGGGAATCATCTTGGGGTACCTGTTGACCTTGTGGGAGAAAAATCTCAACATTTTTCTTATCTTGTTGAGAATGTCAAAAAGAAGATTATTTCCTGGGCTTACGACAAGCTCTCTGATAGCGCTAAATTAGTGCTTATCAACTCTGTTCATTTAGGAATCTCCTCGCATGTTCTAAAATCTTTCAAGATTCCTCTGGCAATCGCAAACAAATTAGATTCCCTGATCACGAGATTTTGGTGGGCTAAGAATGGCGACAAAGGTATCCACTGGGTAAACAGACAAATGATCCAACTTCGGAAAGGTATGGGTGGTCTGGGAATTCGTGCGATAAATGTTTATAATGATGCCTTGCTCTTCAAACAGGTACAGAGAATGCATACTAACCCACAACTTCTTGCGTCAAAAATGTACAATGCAAGTATTGAGTACCTGCTTTGCTCGGGAAACACTCAATCTAAAACCCCTTCCAGCCTTTCTTGGGTTAGACGGAATATGCACAAGCTCACTCTCAAAGTCATGGAAGGCTTTGCTTGGAAGATTGGTTCTGGGAGGAATATCCTAGCCAGCAGCTCTAAATGGATATAGGGCCAAACCCCTGTGGTCAAGTGAAATTAAAATTTGCTCCAGAGTTCAAAATGACTGTCTTTGACTTTACTAATCAGACCTCTCGGAGTTGGAATGTTAATATGGTTAGAGATCGGTTTGATTGGCAGAGTGCCCAAGCAGTGCTCTCTTTGGACCTGCCTGCGGAGGAAGAAGAAGACTTTCTTTACTAGCATCATCACACCTCAGGGAAGTATACAGTCAAGACTGGCTATACTTTCCTTGCAGGTCTTCTCGGGAGCTCTAAGCCTTTGCACAGGAAGGAAACCTTTGATTTTTTCAAGATCATCTGACACCTTGATATCCCTCCTAAATGGCACATTTTTCTGTGGAAGCTGGCAACTAATAGTTTATTTACTAGTAAATGGGAACCTTCTGATTAGAGGGATGCATACGGATGGAAGATGTGGTTATTGTGGTAACCAGTTGGAGGATGTTAGCCATCTCTTCCTGGATTGTTCTATAGCCCAGTATGCCTGGGATAATTATGGTATTCCGGACTGTAAAAAAACAAATGGATCTACTTTGCTTCAGGATTGGATTCAAACTTATATCCTACTGTTCTATAGTCAGGATGGAGTTCATAGCAACCGAACTCAAAAACTTGTTGCTACCCTATGGTCCCTATGGACGACTCGTAACAAGAGGGTCTTTGAAGGTGATAATGGCTACCTTAGAGCGTTCTTCACTAACCTCACCCTGGCACTTGATTTTCTTAAAATTTACCTAAAGTCGGATGTTCGTAGGCTGGGGACCTTAAGGGTCTATGACTCGGACCCTCCAATCCCACCTGGCTTCCTACAGGTCTCGATGGGCAAGGAATTCCTTTGCCAATCTTATAGGGGTATCCAAACAACACCAGTAATAAGAGTGGACGGATCCTGGCTCAAGCAATTTGGAGTCTATGGCACGGGGTGGACTTTCTCCTCCCCCGACCAAGTGGAAATAGGGGTGGGAGGGAATTCTGGTCTTACAACTTCAGCCCTTCATGCGGAAGCCATTGCTTGCCTCTCAGCCTTAAGATGGGGCTCAACTTGTGGTCTTCACTCGGTTACTGTTTTTACATACTTAACAACCTTAATTAACTCCCTCTCAGTTGGGAAACAGGCTAATATGGAAATACACTGGACACTAAAGGAGATCTGTTGAATTGGTACCTCCTTTCACCAATGTGTTATCTTAAAGGTTAGTCGAGAAGAGGTTAAAAAAGCTCACCAACTGGCCAACCAATTCACTAATGTGTTATTTTTGTAATCTGCTGTTGTCAAAAAAAAAAAAAAACATAAACAAAAAAA